ACCCGGAGCTCAGAGCAGTAAGCGACCTCCACATCACACAGCCAGAAAGTGGCAGAGTCGACCTTGAAGCCCTCAGTCCTGTTCAGTCCTGCCCTCAGCCACGATCTGACCCCAATTCCAAGCGACCTGCAAACTGCATGCTCATTTAGAATGTTCTCTGCCCCAGGAAACAGACCTCACACAGGAGGTGCAGACTGCTTCACCTGCTGGCGGCACTAAGGAGGTACCCCTTTTAACAGACACAGAGTTTTCTTTACCGAGCTCTAGAGATATTTAGGACAAGATGGGTCCTTCTGGACCCCAGCCATTGGCACAGTGGGAGGTACCCTGACGGTCAAGGGTCCTAGATTCCTGCCACTGCTTGTTTGTGACCACAGGAGAGATGATACACCTCTTGGTCCTCTATTTGCCCATTTGTAAAACAAGGACATTGGACCACAATGACCCCAAGTCTCTTCCAGCTCAAAGACTCCAGGATTCTATGTCCGCAGTCCAGGAAATCAACTGGACAGTGCGCTTCCTCTTGTCTTCCCCATAAAATTGGCAATAATTAGGAAAAACAATAATACCCAGGGCTGGCAAGAATGTTGGAAAGTGGCACTCTCCCATCCACTTCTGCTGAAAATGTCAATCAGAACATCCTTTCTGGAGAGCAACTTAGCAATTTTTTATCAAAAGCCTTTAAAAATATTCCTAGTCTTTAACTCTACAATCCCATTCTTGGCTATTGATCTGTAAGGAGAGATATATGTAGAGATTCAGTACAGAATGTCCATCACAACACTATTGATATTTGGGGTGGGGTGGAAGCAATCTAGCTGTTCAGTGACAGGGGATTAAATAAAATCTGTTGCATTCACATGGTGCACCATTTTAAAAATCATGCTTTACAAGAACAGTTAATGATGTGGACAAACATTCCCAACCGATTTTAAAACTTGGAAACCAAGTAGATAATGACATATTTAGATAGCAACGGAAACCGCGCACCGTGTCCTCCTGAGCCTTCCTCCTAAGTGCATCTGGAATCTGTCCTTTGTATCATCCCCTGTGGCACCCAGTCCATTGCTGTGACCCCCTCAGGTCTCAGCTACTATCTGCCCATCCAATCTTTGAACTGTGGCCAAGATTGATCTTTTCCAACCCATTTCACCTCCCTTCCAGAGCTCCCCACCCATCTTGGGAAAAGTCCAAACTCCCTCCCATGGCCCTCTGGGGGCCCCGCACGCTCTGCCACTCACGAGCAGTGTCCCCATGGCCCACACCTCACTCCAGGAGGGTTCAACCCCAGCCTCAGGAGCAGAGGAAGCTGGGTCCACCCAAGGTAGCCTTGCCCAGGGAAAGAACTGGCACCTCACACAGCAGAGGGGAGGACCCTCCGGTGAGGTGAGACAGGAGAGGCCTATGGTGGCAGAAAGAACAGGACCAGGCTACAGAAGGAGGCCGGGCTCGGTGGCCCTGCCAGCCCCCGCATGGCCAGCCTCACCAGTCTCTGCACAGGAAGGATGGCTCCTGACCCTCTGTGCCCCTCCTGCTGGAGACCCGTGCCTCAGGGGACCAGTGGCTGCCAGAGGAGCCTGGAAGGGTCCCCTCAGAACCAGGTGCCATGCAAAATCCTTCCAGTACCCAGACATCACCCAGCTACAAGGCCTCCCAAGAAGCCCTTTTCCAGAGGAGAGACTCTATGCCCAAGGAAAGGGCCAGACATCTGGCCCCTGACCCCAATCCCACCTTCCTATGCCTTCTCTGCCAGGCACTAAGGCCTGAGCCATAGGAAGATTCTTCTGTGCAGAAATGACATTTATTAAAGACCAGTTCAAGATGAAGCTGAACTGTATATGAAAACAACAAAATCAATAATGACCGCTCACTGTTACTGACCACTTACCACCTGCCCTACAGCAGGCCAAAGCTGTCCGTCTATCATCTCATCAACTTCTCACACCCCTCGGAGTCAGGTACCTATTTTGCAGATTAGGGTCATTGAAGCAAGGGGGCTGGCCTGTCCACCGCCTGGGTACCCAGGGATACAAGAGGTTGGGCCAGACCTCAAAGAAGTCTGGCAATGCTGACCACTGCTCCCTAAGTCCTGGGTGAGACGGGCTGAGGGGGCTCCTCCCCATCCTCTAACCTGCCCCTCCTGGGCAGGAACTATCCCAGGAAGGTCGGGGGCGGTTTGCCAGGCACTGATTTAAATAATCTTATCTGCAAAGGAAGAAAAAAAAAAACCTGCTAAGATGCTAAGCCTGAAAGACAGAGGGATTTGCCAGGCTGGATCCAGACCTATCTAGAGAGGCACCCAGCGGGAGCCCTCCAGCCTCCGCCTGCTCTTCCACAGGCCACAGGAAGGAGAACGGCCACCAGCGAGGGCACCCAGCGTTGGCACAGATGTGAACACCTGAAGCTCCCGGGCCCACTTGGCCTTGTAGCCATCTGTGCACAGGAGCTGAGAACCCCAGCACACGTCAGAACGGTGGTTCTTCAGCCAGGGATCCCCCACCAAGGTCTGCATGGCACTCATCAGGATGCAAATTCCTGGGCCCATTTCACCTCCCTTCCAGAGCTCCCCACCCATCTTGGGAAAAGTCCAAACTTCCTCCCATGGCCCTCTGGGGGCCACACACGCTCTGCCAGAACTAAGGACTCAGAAACCTAGAAGGGTGGCCCAGGCACCTTGAGGCTTCACAAGCTCTCCTGGAGACAGGGACATTTGCAAGTTCTTCCCCCTTAGCTCTTCTCTTGACCCCACACCCAGAATCCCCTGGAACAAAGAGCAGACGGCTCCACCAGCATCAGGGGGAAGCCCATGGCGGGGCCTGACAGGCTGCAGGCTTCCTCTGCTTGTCCTGCCCAAAGACTTTCCATTCAACAATTATCTGTGGACCTACTAAGTGGCAACACAGAGGAGACAGCTGTCAGCCACATGGCTGGGGGCCTGCCCTGAGGGACCTGGCATCAACAAAGGGTCAGGGAGAAGGCAGTGAGCCCACCAGCACTTCCCCACCCCTAATAAGGGCTCCCACAGAGGAAACGTACCCAGGCTCTCTCCCTCACCAAAACTGTCCAGGTCTCCAAAGACCTTTAAAAATAGCCCAGCCCAGCACCAGTGTGCCAGCTCCTAACAAAGCTTTGTTGACCCAACTTCTCCCAAAGATGACAGATCAGCCCCAGAGAGAGAGGGTGGACCCTCCCTCCCTGCATCTACGCTCACGGGCTCAGGGCAGGAACCTAACAGGGAGCACAGGGGAGCTCCTGGCGTGGGCCCCAAGGTCTCTCCCTGGGCACAGCGCTGGAGCAGCAGACTGAGTGCAAGTCCCAGAAGGGCCTGGAAATAGCTGTGGTGCCTTGGGCATGCCCCTTCACCTCTCTGAGCCTCGGTTTCCTCATCTGTAGGTGGTGACAGCAATAGGACCCACACATAGGCCACTGTCAAGTCGCTGTGCTACCCACATGTCATGCACAGTGTGCTCAATCAGTAGGACCCCCAGCTTCACTCAGCTCCCTGCCCCACCCTGTTGGAGACGGCCTGGTGCAGAAGATACCGCTATTCCTGGAGAAGCCATGGTGCCCTCTGCCTCCCAGGGACAGGGCGCAGGAGGTCCTACCTGCAGCCTGCCTGCCGAGGACTGAGCTTCGAGGAGGGTACAGCAACCTCACAAAACAACGTCTGCCTTGGAAAGAGAGAGAGTGGCCCCTGGGCCAGGAGCTTCAGCCCTCTGAGGAGCGGGTACTGGATATGACCGCCCACCCCACAATTCCCCTGGAGAAGAGCCAGTACCAGCACTTTCGGGAAAGTCCCCTTTGTTCCAAGCACATGGGGGCGAGGGGCATGGGGCTGAAGCAGGGGCTTGGCCAGACCTGCAAACGTGCCCAGAAGACTGATGGAGTGGGGGGAGGGGGAGAGGCTGTGCAATGCACCAGAGCTTCCTCCCAACCTTGAAGCCTTGAAGTCTACACAGGCTCTTGGCAGTCAATCTGCTGCCTCCAGGGGTGGTGCAGCCCATGGAGCTGCCCAGGTACATCTGCTGAGTTACAGCCCAATCCGCAGGCCACTGCCCACTTCCAAGCCCAACAATCAGGCATAGGCCCTTCCAGGGAAGATCCCCCTTCTCATCCCCAGAAAAGACAGGGTGATCAGGAAGCAGTGCAATTAACCTCTGGCGAGCTGGGCTCCCTCCCAGAGGCTGCAGGAAGGGGAAACCTGGTATGGAGAAACTGGAGAGCAGGGGAGAGTGTGAAGTTGGGCAGGTGGAAGGAGATACAGGCACTGATCCACTGACGTCCACAGGGGACATACCTTCCTTTTGGGGCTGCTCAAACAGTTAAAGGATCAAACCCTCGGAATCAGCTACAGTTGTATAAACTCATTTCCGGTGTGAAGGAGACAAGAAGGGAGGTAAGATGGGACCTGAGAATTCAGACTAAATGCGGCAACCAACAGGGTGCCAGGGACCCTTCCCCCGCCCCTCTCCCCCGTCACTGCCATGAGCGCTTGCCAAGTCTCGCCACCCCCCACACACGATCAGGGCCAGGGAGGGGGCGACAGGCCAACCTCGCAGCAGCAGCAGCAGCAGCATCGTGATGCATGAATCACCCACCCGCCGCGCTCCTGCCAGTCGGCTCCGCGCAGCCCGAGCCACGCTGCACCCGGGCGCCCCCTCCCGGGACCACCGCCCCCTGCCCTTGCACTGCCCCTGCCTCTTCGGACAGCTCTGCGGGGAAGGGGCCGCGGGTGGGCCGGGGTTCCCTCCCGGCCTGCGGGCAGCCCGCGCACGCTGACAGGCGGCACACTGCCAGGGCTGGGGGCGGGGGCCAGAACAATGGGGCCAGGTGTGGGGCAGGGGCGCGGCCCGGGCTTCCGAGGGGCCCGGGGCGGAGGCGGGGCGGAGAGCGACCCGTGAGGTCTGGGCGCGAGCGGGGTGGGCCGCGGGAGGCCGGGGGCGCGGGGGGCGCGGGGGAGGGGCGCGGGGGCGCGCGGGGGTCCTGGCGCGCGCACTCACAGTAGGTTTTCCTGGTCAGCTCCTTCTGGCCCCCGCCCCCAGCCCTGGCAGTGTGCCGCCTGTCAGCGTG